ATTTTAACGTTGCATGAGATCCTTGAACTGCGTCACACCCACCGCCGACCAACGATCGCAGTATTTCTTGACCTGAAAAGAGCCTTCGACTCAGTTGATCGCAAAGCACTGATAGGCTCCCTTTTAAGAGGAATGCCGCAGAAGTACGTTAACCTGCTGAGGTTACTGTACTCACATACCTCCGATCGTTTAGGGGTTTACAACGAACTAATTAGACCGTTCGTCACCAGCAGAGGCGTTCGTCAAGGGTGCCCTCTTTCGTACTTCCTGTTCGATTTCGTCGTAGACAAACTACTGGAGAATTCACTAAGTGGACTTCAAAATGTAGACATTGAATGNTCAGGAATTAGTTACGGTAGATTACTTTCCCTACTTAGGTAGTTGCGTGACTAATGACGGTGGCGCATCAAAGGAGATAACCACCCGCATTTCCGAAACTCCAGCATCATATGCAGGACTATTATTATCATTATTTATTATTCAACACGTAATCAGTTACAGAGAACTGGTAAATGTGCCACAACAGATGAACAGGAAAAAAATTTGAAGAATGTGTTCATGGGTTGTGTGAGCATGTTACTTCCCGGTTGCCCTGGCCGAAGAAGGGGGATAACCTCGGGGTCCCCACCCGATGCCTCTGACTAGAAAGCCAGACTTGCAGGTCAGCAGGGCGGAGCTCAGAGTTCACAGTCCTTTGGGGGACGGTGTCCAGTTCACTGAATCATACGCCCTTTGGACGAGGTTAAACGTCCAATGTGCCCAATACACCTCGATGCCCAATTGAGCCGGTGACCACTACAGCGAGCAGGAAGGTGTGCGTGTGGTTCTTACACCTCGTCTTGGTTGGTTTGGAATCAGGGATTTTAGCCAACTCCCTTAGGTGAACTGCCAATGGTTCACCAACCCGGTTATAGCACCGGATGTCGGCGTTTCGTCCTCTCACTTTGGTGGAAAAACACCTGCACGAGAAGGCAGTGAGTAGGGCTTCCTCAACAGAGGCTATTTGAGACTCTTGGTCATATAGGAGCATTTCGCGAGGTTCAAGGAAATGGTGGCCAGTCACAATTCCAGACACCCGCCCCTACCATACTGAGGCTTTCGAAGGCAGGACTGCAACACCTTTGGCGTAGACGCGGCGTTTCACTGATGTTGAAAGGTTGTGTTTATTGTGCTACCGTTCGCCCAGTTCTGCTTCATGTTGTGTGACCTTAAATTTGCGGGTAGATATCCGTCTACTAGAGGTTTTCGATTATGAGTATGTACACTTTTTAGCCTATGTGGGATGGAGCGAACGGGTCAGTAACGTAGAGATAATCCACCGTATGTTTAGTAGTCTATCAGATATAAACCTGCTAGCACACTGAATTCAGATTAGTGGACTTCGCTGGCTAGGGCAAGTATTGCGTATGCCCAGCCATCGTCTGTCGCATCGCTGTAGCCGCCCTTTGCTGGAGGAAACCACGTGTAAGTCAACAGATGACGTGGAGACGAAACATGAAGAAATGCACAGAGCCATTAGGTAGAGTAGGTGTCTTGTGCCTTCCAGTTTGGGGTCTGAAAGACCCCACAACCGGTCGGTTGGAGACATTGAAGGATATGGCAGCGAACCGACATCAGTGGCGTTGTCATTTCTTATCAGACCAAAACGCGCGAAACGGTATGTATGCTGAGTTCCATTGTGCACTGTGTTGACCGCAGTGGTTCACGTTCTCCCTCCTCTGTCCTTCAAAGTAGGTCTAATCCCTGTCCACCTTCAATTTTACCGCTAATTCTGTATGCGTTGCCAGTTTGGCAGCGATCAGTGAAGTTCGCTTCACTGTATTTCGCTGTACGATGGTGACGCCAGTAGTCCAACAATCCGCGGAAACTTGGACGCATTGTTAACCCTTCTGGACACCCTCGGGTTAAGCAGAGCTGAATACCACCAGGCGCGATCCCGGGTTGTGGATAGGGGGATACATTCGCCAAAGAAGGTTAGCTGCGAATAAGTTGTGGCATACCGCAAAAGATAAGCAGTAGCGAACAATACCACACCTAACCTATCGGGGTCTTATGTGTTTCACCACTCCAAGTCCCGGGGCTTAGGTTACCGGTTTCTATCACTAAAAAGCAGGTCCTCGTGACAATGGGGCTTTCCCTGTCTGCTGTTCATCACACGGTTAGCAATCCGATGACGGCCGTTCCGCTAACCAGTACCTGGGGATGCGCTCGATAGCATACAACCCTGTCCTCGCGATTCTTACCTAGGATCTCAAGAACAAATCAAAGGCCTCAACGGTAAAGCAGAACTGACCAAACGGCGACAGTATGCCCGAATTTTCAACTTCGTTGAAAGGTAAAGTCGATACCAAAGGTATTCCATTTTCACGTATGTTGCTCGAGGCTTGGCAATGCATTCATTCCTTATCATTGCACTACCGTCAATCATTATGCAATTACTTCCATAAGAGGAGCCATCGGCTTTAGTCAACTTCTGATCATTCAGTTCCAAAGCAGGATTAATTGACCCTCACCTTGGAGCATCATCTTACATATTGAAGGTGTAAATCGTTTACCTTATTAGGAATATGCATACTTGTATATGTCTGTTGTTAGTTGGAATATTTCGCGATTGATCTTCAGACGTTTAGAACAATTACAATTCATGAAGTATTTTTTCTCTCTCTAATAATCAGGTGGGAGCCAAGTATACTGGACTCGATATTGCTGCTGATGATTACCAACAGGAAGAAATTCAGTTAGGCTATGAAGCCAAACGAGATCGGTGGAATGGTTACGACCCGGCAGAGCACAAAAAGTTGTTCGATGAATATCAACGTTTGGAGGAGGCTCGCAAGTTAGCGAAAGCAAAGAAACTTGAAGAAAAACTCGCGAAAGCTGCAGAAGGTAATGGCGGACAGGTTAGTGTCACAAGTTTTTTTTGTTCTTTAACCGAAACCCCATGCTTGGTGGTTCCATTTTTCCTCAACGAACTAGTGAGATTATATATTATATTATATTATTATACCGAAGGGGTGACCCTTATAATGATTGGAACCTAATGTTTTTTAGTGTATTTTACAATTTAGATTGGAGTTCACTTGGCAAACCGTCAAGCAGAGGCATGAAAATAGGCCCATCGATAGTGCCTGCGACCAAGGTGACGATTCTGAATCAGGATATACCCTGACGTAGATGTCGGTGATAACAACCTAAATCATTCAACCCCACCTTTTTCATGGTCTTCACTATAGAGCACCGAGCCTAGACGGTTTTTATAACGAAAGGAAACCACTTTCCTAATTATCTTTGCACCAGTGGTATTTTCATAGAAGTTCAATGCTATTCAGAGCGGTAACCACCTGTGAATGTGATGCGGCACTTTTGCCGAATAGCTCCAAGATTAGAACCATAGTTGTAAAAGTTTCCATCCCGACCTGAGCCATTAACCATACACTTTCGTACGCCGGTTTTGGTTGCTGTCTTTTTGTCGCCCATTTGGATAAAAGAGCAGAATGTAGATTGGAATGTTGAGAGCAGATTCAAGGGGAAGATAAAGGAGAATTCATGTAGAGGTTGCAAGAATAATGAGTAGATGCGTGAGCGCCTCTGCTACATCCAGCCATATCGCTCAGTGCCTCTAACCATCGGTGACCATGATCTCGGGGTCCCCATCCAGGGGGCCTAACGGGATTCGTGTGACCCAGACTCCTTGTTACAGTTTTCGTACTCTTATGCCAGGCCTTCGTTTGTTCACTCTTGACCATTGTTTATCCTACATCGGCAAACATCGCTCCCTGAGGCAACCCATCTGGTGATATGCGCAACACATGTCCCAACCACCGTAATCTATGAAGGTCGACTACTTGTTCCAGTGGATGACCGCGATGACCTAAAAATCTACGCCTGACCTTAGCATTGATCGTTCGGTTTCCCCATCAGACTCGTGCAATGCGACGTAGATAGCGGTGTTCGTACACCGACAATCTACTTTTATCCTGTTCCCGTAATGGCCAAGTCTCTGCACCGTAAAGCCCAACTGTTGCTCCAGTCACGGAGGTTTTAGCCTCATCTCCATTGCGTCGTTGTTCCTTCGCAGACTTAGTTGGATGAGAGTGCGTCATATCCGTGAAGAACAAGCTGAATGCCGTTCCGGCTGGAGCTGCGTTGATCACATTTTAAGTTGACCCATGGGGGGATGGCGTAAAAACAACCTAGAGATAAGGTGTGTATTTTGAAATTCATGGGGGAAACTTCGCTGTCACATCTGTTTCAGCTGATTAGGCTTCGCTAGTGAACACGTTTTGCATGTACCTAACGGTCGCCTAACACATCGTGCCCTTTTTACGGTTGCCGCTCTGGACCGAAGAAAATCACATAGAGGTCAGCGGATGACTTAGAGACGACACATGGAGAAATGCGCAGAGCGACCAGGTAGACAAGGTGTCTCGTCTTCCAGGCTGGGGTCTGTAATTGGTTACTTGGAGACACCGAAGGATGTGACGGAGACCCGGCAGTCGTGGCGTTCTTGTTGTCATTTTTATCAGTTCAAGCGCTTGAAAAGATGGGTACGCACCGTTAGACTGTGTATTCTGTGTTGACCATAAAGATTTACTTAATTTCCTCTTTTCAAAAGCTAGACCCAATCCCCATCCACCTTGTTCATACTGTGCATATCGTGAGTTTGGCAGCTAGCAGTGGAGTTGTCTTCAACGTATCTCTGTGTCAGTTGATGATGCTGACTAATATTCCCTTCCTTCGTTCCTATTCGATGCTTATTTGTGCATCTGGTCTTCGTGTTTGTATTTTTTATTTGGGTCTGATAATGAAACGCTGAAGAACGTGGACTTAAGTGGTTCGAATGGACGGGCACCGTGCTTGAGTTTGGATTTTTCTGGGTCTAATCTACTCGCAATTGAAGTGTATTGAGAACTATTATCTTTCTAAACAAGTATGTATCACTGTGTGGATTGGGGTAGCTCAAATTTTCCGTGTT